ACACCATACTTTACTGTAAAACAACTTTTTAATTCCAAAACCACATCTAGAATACCAGTTCCAGTTTTAGGGACTCCAATGCAGGAAAACTATCAATAGACTGGAGCAAGGGCAGAAGTCTACCAAGGTGCTGAGGGGGATCAAGTGCATTCCCTACGAGAGTCCTGGAGAAGGCTTCAGAGGTACATGACAGCAGCCTGCTAAAACCTATGTTTTCAAGATGACATAGCTTAGTTTTAATAGCAGGGTATATCAGGAAGATGAGAGACAAGCAGCATAAGTTGAAACAAGTTATGTTCCACCTCACTATAGGGACAAACTTCAACAAGAGGACAAGACAAGCACTGGGACAGGTTACCCCCACAAGGGGATTTTACAGTCTCAATCCTTGAATGTTTTCGAGACCAACTGGACAAAGCCCTTAGCAACCCCATCTCAGAGCTGAACCTCTTGAGCAGGACACTGGACTAGATGACCTCCAGAGGCCCGCCTTCCTATTTCAATTATCCTGAGCTCATGATTTTGGAAGTTGTCATTTGTTTTCCTGAAAAAAATACGGTAAACTGCAGTGAGTTGTAATCCTTCCGGCAGAAAAGTTAAAGAAAAAAAACATAGCACATAGCCGTGAAACACTGAAGAAGAAACCTATTACTGTATACAGTCATCCAAAATTGACCGCTGTGAGACACTATAAGAAGCTAGTGATTAACAGATTAACAAACATAACAGAAAGAAAATTTTTTATTAAAAAAACAAAAAAAAACAAAAAAAAACCCTCCAGTAATCCTATTTAAAACATTTTTTCAATCAAGTATGTTTTCTAGCCTGATAAGTGATAAGATGCATGTGTAGCCACTTAGGAGCCTATAACTAGAGAGAACAAACTGAGAAAGAAGATGCAAAGTAATTTGAGAACTCAAAATAGATTAAACTACTGTGCGGTATCAAACATTAAGTGCTGAAAAAGTTCTGCAAAAGAAAAATGAGGAGTATTATTTCTGCCTGGAGCCAAAGACACACTTGCATAGAAACCCCCAGAAAACCAAAGCAGCTTGAGTAAATCTGTTAAAGCAACAGATGATTTGACCAAATTTTTTATGTCTTCTCTAAAATAAGAACTGCAAGCATGTCAGGAAGCAACCATCATGCTGCTCAATGTCAACACTGTTGTTTATTCCACAGATCCCTGTGGTTCAAACATGTGCTGTTATATTTTAAATACAGTCACATTAGAAGAAAAAGGAGATGAGTGATGAAAGGACAAGTCAGATGCTATCAATAGCAAAACTACACCTAGGAATACATATTTCTTGATAACAGCCTTCATACTTTTGGAATCAAAAAAATGATACCGTCTGGATGGGATGAAAAAATAAATGAGTTTTCTATTAAGAATAACAAAGAACTACAAATACATTCATTTTTCCATTATTCTCTTATGCCCAGGAAAGACAAACTTACAAAAAGGGTACTTAGCTAGTCCTGACAACAGGAGCCTAATTGTTATCACAGCATATACCCTTTAAACTTAGCCTGTCCTGGTAGGCCAACATCAAATATAATGCCTATATTCATCAATATATTATGGCAATTCTACACAGATTCTTACACTGTAGTTATCACCACAACATCACACATTCCTCTTCTCTAAAATCCTTGCACCATTTATTCAGGCATCTCAGACAAAATGTAAGTAGCCACACATGAGTCTCTTGTAATATATTTTCACAGAAAACAAGAAATATTAGCACTGAGCTTGTTCAGGATTCCCCTTTGGTTTTTATGTCTGTTTTTGTCTTTTTTATGTCTTTATGAGAGAGAAACAGTTTTTGCTGGTTGACTGTAAAGATATTCTATTATGCATAGTAGATCATATGGAAAAATACTAAGGGAAAAGTCAGAATAATTTTAATGACTATTTCCAAGAAACAATCAGCAGCACCTTTATTGAGTAGCAGGGAGACCTATAGAAGACGTTCTAGGTTAGTGTATATTGGCAGCATGCTTGACAAATTGAGAATCTACAGCATTTAAAGTAAAATCTCAGCTGCCATGAGCCTGCCTTGGCCCTACTGTGTAGTTCTACTCATGTCTTTGCTATGGTACTAGCTCAAGGTATTCAGCCCCTGAAGTAACCAGTGCTTTTTTGTTTAGTTGTGTGGTTCAGCTCTGTGAATCAACTCACAATAGCTCTCAATCAGACAGGAAATCAGGTGCAGGTGAGTTTATGAACTCTGAGCATTGTTTAATGCTAAATTTAATGATTACAGTTTGCCTTGAAAAGGGTGGTCCCACCAACCCCATATCCACACAGTCCTTGACTCCTTCCAATGAATGGATCCTGCAACCATATATCCAGAATGCAAGTCAGCTCAGTAAAACACTTTCCTCTCTTTGTTTTTCTTTTTTTTTTTTTTTTTACCTCCTTCCTCTCAAGGAGCCCACTTGCAGTTGGCTTAGTTCTCCCAACCTATTCCATGACCCCTCTACTTGACCAGCAAAATGGTGTCAACACAGAAGGAAACAAAAGACCAGAATGTGTGCAAAAAAAAGAAGCAAAACCTTTCATTTCAGCAGCACTCTGCAGTTGCAGTGAATTAACTGTAACATCATTAGTCACACCACTACCATAATCTTTCAAGCCTGCTTTTGATAGATGAGTGCATCTTTGAATACATCCAATTGATAATCATTCCATTAATGTAAGAGCTTAAATTTTTATCAATGCAGTTTAATTCCATTACAATTATTTTCAATAATTTGTTTATCAGTACTAGATGTTTTTGTAGGAAAACAGAGTTTTAAGGAGAAATGATGTCATCTCTGAATTTCTTTTTCTAGAAGAAAAGCAAAGCAGCAGCCCTACAACAGAAGACGTTCCAGAAACAGGAAAAATTGTAAAATAAGCTGGAGAGGGTTTTTATTTCTTTACTCATCTTCCTTCAAGAAGATTTGAAGTTCTGACTTTTAGTTTGATATGTGGTCAAATGCTGTTTTAAGAGAATGATATAAGAAAAGCAGCATCTTTTACGGGGATCAATATGACAAAAGGAATATGCTTTTCAATGATGCTCCACATAAAATTGAGCTAGCATTCACTTGACCTTTAACCAGGAGAAATACACTTAAGATACCCTCAAGGAAGTTTAAGTCTTCTGTTTCTCAACTCAATATCTTAACAAGAACAAATTTCACTAAGAGTTTAATTTCACAAGGTACCTTAGCCAATGAAACATTCACATTGAAACATACATGACAGGCAAGAATATGTCAAGGCACTCTACAATGAAAGAAATATCTATACAAAAAATGCTATCAAAATAAAGAACCTGGGTAACATGAATTTAGCTTCACTAATAACAACAGCTTCATTTCATAGGAATTTTTATTGTTACTCACATTTCATGATGATGTACTAATGATTGGAGGTAGTCACTGTCCACACATACAAATTCAACCTCCATGGTCTTCACTACATTAAAACCATTTGGAGAAATAAACACTTAAATTCTCAAATGCTTGACTAAAGCATTTAAAAAAATAAGAAAGTTACATGGGCCCTACCAAAAGAACCGAATCCATCAAGTACTGTAGGAGCACTTTTCCATCACCTCATCTCTTAAGAAAATGTTAAGAATAAATTAATCAGAGTTTTGCTATCCCTGTAACAATTTCTATTGTCACCAGAATAATACTGAAACAATTTCAAAGCAAAGATCTTCCACATTATATGGGTAGCTCATTTGAAAGCAGGGAATAATCAGAAGGAGCTGGTATGAATATCACTTAAAAAAAAGAAAAGAAGAAGCAGCAATGTGCTAAATAGTTGTAACCGTAATTTATTTTCTAATCAGCTCACTGAAAACAGCAAATGAACCCTGACTGCAACCATCTGCCTACTAAACATTGCTAACATTCTTTGTTGCCAGTGCAAAAGAGAAATCAACACCTTTCAGAAACTTTCACATCTCTATCAAAGGCCAACTTTGGTCCCATCATAATCCAGAAAGTCACTCTGATTATTTTCTTGCATATACTCTGACTTTCAGAAATCAGAATTATGTTTACTTTTTAATAAGATTCAAAACTTTCATCTCAACGAGACAGATCTGAAAAACAGGTATTTTATTTATAGATACATACTATTTTTGATGCCTATTGCAACACAAAGCCTATAAAATTTAATATAGGTAACTTCTTTGTCAAGTCTGAAGTATCTACTTTTATCTACTTTATCAACTTTGCAGCATGAAGTGTTTCAAAATGCTAAATATCAAATACAGATGTTTGGACTACCATTTAATCTATGCTAGACTGTACTGATTCCTCCTTCACTTAAACACAAGATGTTCAGCTGCATATTTAATATTACTTGTAGATCCTTCTAATCTTTGTGAACTTATGAACCAACTAGCACGTAGACACAAATCTTCCACTCTAAGTCTGTTACTTGTAGCACTTTAAAAATTGCATCCACAGTTACAGCTTCCCCATTTCAAAAAAAAAAAATCATACAACACTCAGTGAAGTAGCAGAAGTATCAAGACTCAAACAGATGTTTTAAAAATAAGAAGATAATTTCAAGAACTAACAAGATGGCAGTTGTTAAAAGGTCACTATATCTATCGCTACATATAAAATGATTAAATATAGAAGCAAGCTTTTCAGAACCTCGGTGAGACTATTTTAGTTGGAGACATATGTAAATATTCTCCACAACTGGTGACTGAGCTGTGTAACATGCCTCTAGAACTGGAGAGTTTGACTCTGCTCTAGCACATCATACTGCACTGAAACATGCAGACGTTTTGATGAATAAAACAGCTGAGCAACATCTTCTTTTCTAATAGTATGCCAAACTTGCAGATTTCTCCAATGGGAAAATGTACTTCTCCCCTGTTTTTCATAGAAGTATTCTTTCTCAACAACCTTCAAGTAGTTCAAAGCCATGACATTAATCAGTTATCTCCACTACTTACAGACAGGAAAAATCAATTTACCTGAATGCCATCAAGCAACTTGCTCATGCACCAATAACTGTCAGCTTCTATGTTCTGCAGCACTTCTTCAGGCAGACTGGAAACATCAAAATTTTCCACTTCTTCTTCTTCTGTTTGAGGAAAAGAGAGAGGAAAAGACAAGTCAATGAAGTGCACAGAATAAATAAAGCAAGGATGAGGAAAATAACTGAAAACAAAGACAAGCACCACTTATCTTCTAGTCAGAAACTTCAACGCACATTTACTTAAACAGTGAATAAATGAATAATTTATTGCTCAACTGTGTCATCTAATGGCTTTAAATGTTAATGAATACTTAATTTCTTGCAGACTGTGAAAATCTCAAACCATGCCTGGTTAACCAGAATTAATATATAATAAATTGCTTCATTCTAGACATTTTACACCTGAAAGGGGAGTATCAGAAGCCCTCATGCTATGGATGAACAATCTCAACAGAACATCTAAGTTTGCATCATACGCACTAAAGTATGTTGCATGTTTTAACAGAAGAAACCCCCAAAATAAACCTTATAGAAAGCCAACAAAATGATTTAAAAGCTGACTATAGCTTTTCAAGGATCATTTGTTTGTTTTCAGGCAAGCATTTGGAATCTGAAGGAAATCGGACCAAAGGAAACAGACTATTTTTTCCCTCCAAAAAAAGATTCTCAACACTGGAAAAGCACAGAACCCTCAAGGCTGTCTAACTCATGAAAATTGAGTCTTTCTGTTGTCACAACAAAATAATATTTAAAAAAAAATATATCTAATTGCTATGAATCAGAATTTTACCACTTAAGCCAGATTACGTGATTTTAAAACATGCCATCTGAATTAATAAAGAGTATGATACACTAAAGAATTCCTTCCTTTATACAATTGCAAGACAGGATAGGACAAGCACTAAGAGAACCAAGAACATGCGTTACCATACAACTCCTCTACTCCCTATCTCAAATCTCTGCAATATGTCATTACTGAAGCCTATGGAGATCTTTAGGTTGTCACATTTGATTACGCAAACTTAAAGCGTTTACTATTCAGTTGGTGATAGCCATGAGCATTACATATGTTGTAAAATAATTCTAACACACAAGTGATTTTATCACTACTCATAGATTATCAGACGCAAGGCGTTACCAATGCATTTTGGTTTGCACTGCCTGAGGAATCATTCGTTTGGGGATATGAAATGTTAACAACTATAGGACGAGGAGATTAGGTTGTGCTAACAAAACATTAGTTAAGATACTGGAAAACCTGTTGAGTGGAAAAAAAGAATTATAGCAGGGATGCCATAAATCAAAGCATGTGATGATCCCAGAGGTACCAGGACGATCAACAACACACCAGTGGTTGGTTACCGGCTATTAAAGGAATGCCACCTTTGCATTGCAGTACAGTTTTAAAAACCCAGACTGTAACAGAAGACCAACAAACAAGTATCCAAAACATCTATGATTCCTTAAGTAATAAACTCAAATATAACAGAGACTGCAAAACAGTGACGACCAATTAGTAGACTGTAGTATCAAGCTTTTTAATAACAGATCCTTTCACAAGGAAGAAATTCCTTATCCCACTTCAGCAGCATATTCTCAGCAAAAATAAGGGCAAAAGCCCCACAAATCATCATCACCTTCCTCCCAGCAAAAGAAAGCAAATTCTGACAATGCTCTAAGGGAGAACGGGATCAACACTGTCTGTGCCTGGGCGGTAACGCTCCCTTCCACATCTTTCTCCTCAGTTCCCATCCCCTTCTTTACTAGGTTCACCTCATTAAAGACAGACTTGTGTTTATTTCAACCCAAACCCCTCAGAAAAATATGTTAAAAGAAAAGTCTTGAATATTACAAAAGCCAGAAGGTTTTTTCCTTCAGGTAGAGGTGCTCAAAGGTGCAATGGAGATAACAAGAAGGCAAACAAATGAGCAGGAAGACAAAGGTTATATATAAAGAAAACTAATCCAGATTAGACAAGTAACAAAGGTGTTATACATTTCACAAAATTAATCCAAATAAAAATGTCAGTTCTGCAGCTCAAAAACGAGACAAGGGAAAGGTCCCTTGCAAATTATCATCAGCGTCAAAATGTCCTTTAGCAATGTCCTCTGTAACTCAGAATACACACAAGACATGTTCAATTTAAGAAGTCAGGTTTCATGTGAACCTGTGCAAAATTAATATTAAATATCTACCTATCTCCCTCCAACATGCTCTGTCCTTAGATTAAAAACAAACAAAACACACACACAAATAACACGAAAAACCCCACAATTTTCAAAGAAGCTCTTTTTAATAGTCCAGAAAATAAAATCAAGGATATAAAGGATGAATATTCCCTTTAATTTAAAAGAGAAAGACTTTTCCAGACAAAAATAAATGGAATAATTAAAAAATAATGATGTATCCTCTACAACAGGAAAAAAAATAAGGGTATATCCTATATACCTAACTCATAAAAACTTTTTACAGTTTTACCATTTATATTCATTACATATTCATAAGTCAGCTCACTGTGTAAAGCTGCTTAATACTTTTAATTTAGTTTTCAGAAAAAGGAAAAAGTGTGACTCATTCTTTCTCTGCGTAACAAGGTTTAAAGTAAAACAATAAATGAACCCCTATTCCTCATACAATTTATATAAAATTAAAGCATACATGGAACATTATTCCTCTTGAAAGAAGCAATTTTCAGACACCATTTCACTAAAGATTTGCAAAAGGAATGAGCTGACAACTACTTCGATGACCTGTTCCTTTGCAAATTTCCTGCCTTTGAGCACCTTTTCTTCTTATGATCCTGCTATCGCATTTCTGAACAAAAAGGAACTTACAAACTGTAAGTACAACACAATAACTCTTCTACAGGTACTCACAAAAAGATAAGTTTAAAAAAAAAAAAAAGGATTTTTATCTTTTGTTTCTCATCTTACTTATCTTAGCTCTTTCTTACCCTGCTCTTCCAAAATCTAGCACTTCACACTGTAGTCTCATATCAGGATATAAAACAACACAAAAGCTTAACATACACCTAACCATCAAAGGCGGGCATCTTCACCTCTCTTCACAGACAACACAGAAAAACAAGTAGTTACAGAGGATTATCTCATTCTAAACCAGAATCATAAAATAAATCAGATGAGCCACATCCCAAGCAAACTCTATTTCTCAGTGTTAGCTGTAACTTAACATGACTACTGCAGAATGCAGACCTAGAAAGTCTGAAATTAGATGAAATAAAACTTCAGTGGCCCATCAGAGGACTCCCCAACCTGTGAATGAATAACCAGCAACAAGTAAAAATGATAAACTTCAAAAAAAATTTAATCTGAAAAACAAGGCTGAAGGAAACTGGATAGCAAAGACATCCCAGTATTAATATTTTGGAAAAAAAAAAATATCTAATTGTTCTAGTAAGAAAACACCATCAAATCAGAAAGATTATGTTTCAAGAAAAGAGAATGTAACTTCTAAGAAACATTTTCCAGTGTTTCTAACGATTCTTCATCAAGTATGTTCACCAAGCACAAAAATGGATGTCATAAATCAACCTTTTTCAAAAGCACATAGGTCTGATATTAAATTCACTATTCTAGATTCTTATATTCTAATATTCTTATATTCTGATATTTTATTCTAATATTTTTCTAATATTCTTATATTCTATTTTTTTATTATTCTTTTACTGAAGAAAAAAAAAAGAAATTGTGTAATTTCGATAGAAAGGCAACTATTAGCAAAAAGCGTAGGTAGCATTTAGGAATCATCCAATTCTTTCACTAAGAGTCCGCAGTTGCTATATATACTTTCACAGACCGACACGAACAACTATTATGGAAATAAAAATAGCCCTGTTAGGAACTACTCGTCCAGTTTTCTTGTTCTCATTTTGCTCTCTCTCCCTTTGCAAGAGACATCCAAGAACATCACGATTTCCTGTGGCACACAGTGGCTGATCGTTAGCATTTTCATAAGCCTCTTATACATAAAATAAGTTTTCAGGATTTTTCGTATGTTCTTTATTTAAAGCTACTTCCAGTCCAATTTTCATTCCCGTTGTGCTTCTCATGCTTCAGAAAGAAAGTAGCCTCCGCTAATGTCAGATAATAAAGTTTTGAAATACAGAAAAAAAAATCTCCTAATGAAATGTGTTAAGACATCTCCACGTATTTCAGCTAGTAGTGCTTACTGGCTATTAGTACGGCAACTGTCTCAAGCTTTAGCTTAGAGCTCTGCATTCAAGTACTTCAAAAAGTCAAAATATGGAGAAATATACTAAGTTTTCTCATTATATTGGCTAAGAAGTATATTTTTTGAATACATTATATTCATCAGCAATTTTTGAGTAAAATGTGGTATGTGGTGTCTCCCCACAAAGAGCTACATAGTGGAAGTCATACAGATACTAAAATCTAATAAGGAAGGCAAAGTATTGTGAAAGACAGAAAGGGATCAAGTGCTCACTGACCTGCAATGGTTACTGCAATTTATTACGGAAGCTCAAAATTGACTCTGAATATTCGAATGACCCACACAACTAGTGAAATAAAAATAGGACACCTGTTTTCATTACAAGCTCCAATTAAGGAATATTTGATTTACAGAATATGCAAAGTATCAGTTTACATATTAAGCATTTATTAGTGTAGGCAATAATGCAAAATGCTTCCTTCTCCTTGAGGTTTTAAAATATGATTGCACGTAACTCTTAATAGGACAGGGAGGGGACTTATTGGATGAAGACAAACACACTTGAGATGTTTTCCAAAAAAGATAAAAAAGAGCAGAAGATTAAAGAACAAACAAAAGAAGAAGCAAAAATAACAACCTCAAAAGTACACAAGGTATTACTGCAATTTAAAAACTTTGTTTAAAAACACAATCACAAATTCTAGTTTTAGATAACTTCAAATTTGTTTTCAATGACTGAAATCTGAACAGACAGTATCATAAAGATTAAATAACAAGAATATAGGGAAAAACAGCAGGCAAACGTGTACATGTATAAATAACTTAGGGGGGGAAAATCACTGCATAAAAAGAGCAGACTTCAAAGTCTCCCAGCAACATTTCTCATTTTCTTCAGTTTCCTGTGGAGATTTTTA